TCCTCCTCACATTGTACCTGAATGGTATTTCTTACCTTTTTATTGTATTTTAAGATCAATTCCAAATAAATTAAAGGGAGTAATAGCAATGTTTGGGGCAATAGTAATATTAATACCATTATCATTTATTCATACATTAAACATTAGAAGTAATAGATATAGACCAATATTACAATTCTTTTTCTGGGTATTTTCATTTAATTTCTTATTTTTATTATGGTTAGGTCAAAAAGCAATAGGTGCACCATATACTTTATTAGGGCAAATAGCTACAGTAATATATTTCACATATTTTATAGTATTAAAGTTATTAGGTTAAATTCTAAAAAGAAAGAGACAAAAGACAAAAGAAAAAAGAAATAGAAAAAGAAAAGAAGAAAAAAAAAGATATATAAGTAGAAATTTAAGGAAAGAGAAGCAAAAGCTTAACCAAAAATAGAAAAGTGTATGATCATAGCTCACTATTTACGCAATCTATTAATATAACACATGCTAGTGAAATGAGTTAAAGAAGCTCAAAAAGCAAAGAGGTGAGGAAAAAATTAATTTACCAAGAAGAGCTTCTACGGGGGCGCCATGAAAATGGTACAAATTCAAAAAAATTGTGATTGATAATTAATTAAAAGGTTTAGGTAGATGAGGTGAAAACTGTCATGCCGATAATCCTTAGCAAAGGCCACAAGATTAAAATTTTAATGAAGAAGAAGGGCATCTATATAGGTGCAGGTATAAAAAAAGGAATACCAATCTAGTTAAAATAGGAAAAAGGAATCTCCTTAGGCAGCAGTGAGGAATATTGGGCAATGAACAAAAGTTTGACCCAGTTGATAGAAAATGGAAGTGAGGTCTTATAGACTACTTTCAAGCAAATTGAAAGATTTGAAAAAATTAAAAGTATGTAACATAATGAGTAACATATGAATTGTCCCGGCAAATACCTGTGCCAGCAGCCGCGGTAATACAGGAAGGGCAGCGTAGTAGATCTTAAATAGGCATAAAGTGTGATAAGATGGTTATAGGGAAAATGAAGGGTCAAATATGGTCCTAACCTAGACTAGAGTTAAAATAGAAATTATAGTAACAATTAATGTAAGGATAGAATCTTTTGAGATTAATTAGAAAATCAATGAAGTGACAACATGTAATTAAAAAGGAAACTGACATTGAATCACTAAAGTGTGGGGAGCAAAACAGATTAGATACCTGAGTAGTCCACACCCTGAATACTGAATGTAAAGAATATATAAATTCAAAATTATTAAAAGCATTCCGCCTCCATAGTATTTTGGCAACAAAGAAATGGAATTGAATAGACGGGCTCTGAAACCAATGGTGGAACATATTATTTAATTCGATAATACACAAAAATCTTACCTTCTCTATTATAAATGGTGTTGCATGGCTGTTGTAAGCAGATGCAGTAATGAGAAAAATCTGCGTGGGGCGCATTATAAATGCGCGACTACAAGTACGCATGGCCCAATGAGAAGGGCTATAGATGTGTTACAAAGAAAAGAAGAATAAATATAAAGGAAATCTTTTCTCAGTTCAAACAGTCATTTGAAACTCAATGACTCGAAGCTGGAATCACTAGTAATCGCTTAAAAAAGTATACAGCGGTGAATTAAATCTCGGGGTTGTTCTAACTGTCCATCACATCCGGTCATTTATTAAGAAATTAATGATTAACGGGATGAAGTTGTAGCAAGGTAACTGTTCTGGAAAGAGTAGTTCAAATTAACACATGGCATTCTAAAAGATGCTAAACACAAAAATTAATATTCTTTTAAAATTAACCATAAAAATGTGATAAAAACATTGATATTGGATAAATTAACCATAAAAACATGATATTGGAAAATAGCTGATGGCTCCTGATGAAGCAACACATAGTGGCTATGAACTGTCTTGTCTTAAAAAATTACCCAAGAGCTACATAGTAGCGATTTCTTAATTATTATTTGAATAGGAGCACCATTAGTGCGTCACTGGCACTTTGGCCGGGAGACTAAAAATATCTACGGTTAAACCAAAAATCTAATGATAGGAGGGTAGGACTGTAAAAGTGAATATGGTTACGGGAATGAGAGAATAAAAAAATAATGTTCGAAAAATGGATATAGTGAGTGAAACTTTAGACACACAATATTCTGCGAGAATGTTGTATTAGATTGAGTGGGAACCTAAGAAGATAGGTAACTATATAAAGGAATTAAGGAATAATTTAAGGAAAGTAATTGCTATGTGGAGACTAGTGGCACCTATATAGGTGCAGGGACGATAATTAATGGTAGCCACGTTAGAGGGCTCCATACGGAGCCAGTGGTTAATAAAGAGGGGAAATAACATTTAAAGGTTTCCTTTGGGTACTTTGAATTAAATAATAGCTATAAAGTTATAATAGTGCTCGTCCTGAAACTCGGAGTCAGGTTATCCTCGTTCCAAAGCAGTCATAAAATAATGAATGGATAAAGAAAGAGCCATTAGAATCTACTAGGTTAGCTTTCCATTATAATCTAGTCAGGTTCAGGTTGCACTGTTGTGAATAACTCTAAAAATTGATTACCCTCTTATCAACATTGGGTGATCTGAGATCACCCCTCTCTTTGGGCTATGACTCCTAGGGCCACTGGCACCTAGGTGGGTACAAGTATCTATAATTCTTTGGGAGATAAGTCAGCCCTAAGGGCTCCATTAATTTCTTGTTTATGGGATCAAACCGAGTCCTATAGGATTGTACTATAACGCCTATAATATGGATCTATCTGGGTACTGGGAGAGCTCTTATAGTGTAACATCAATAACAGGGTGATCGAAGATCACGTAAACAGAGAATCTAAGGAAAACATAAGCCTGACAAAATCAACTACAGGATTTCCTAAGGCGAGTAATCGCTAAGGAGACGTAATTATAATAGTAGGATATAAATGGAACATACAATTTATTTCTAAAGTAGGGTAGTGAACTTATTCGGAAAAACGTGATGGTGTAACAACTAGGAATGGTGCATCAAAAAAATCGAAATTAGAATTATTAAATGGAAAAGATCTATAAACTAGATCTGAAATTATAAGTAGTAAAGAAAAGATTTATCTTTCTTCAAAATTAAATCAAAAACTGGTAATAAGACTCCAGGTGTGGATGATATAACCTTTGATGGGATCTAAGATAATTTCGTAGAAAATTAAAGACCTAAAATTTAATCCTGTTAAAAGAATGTATATATCTAAAGGTAATGGGAAATAAAGGGAATATACGGTGTGCCATAAAATGGCTCCTATAGGGATTGCGTTTTTTTGCATCAAGCAAATAAAAAAATAATAATTAAAGAGACATTTATTAGAAATGGTATAATAGGTGGGCCATGCTTCATGGCTGATGACCATTTTGGAATCTGAATTTAAAGACTCAAGGACAAGTTTGTCCTACTTTGTGTGGTTTTGTCTTTTTTAAGACAAAGGATTATACTTTGATAACTAATAATAACCTTATAAAATAGAAGCTCGTAAATTATGATAAAGGGGAGCCACTATGTGGGACTCCTAGCACTATAGATGGGTCATGGCCAGGAGCCATAGAGGTACTAGGAATCGAACCTAGGCCAATGGTTTTGGAGACCATTATTATACCATTTAACTATACCTCTAAATTTACTAATGGATTGGGGAGAGTCATTAAGCGAAGAGCTATAAATCTTAAAAATTAGTAATAGCTCCTAATGGAGCGCCATGGAAAATGGCTGATGGCTACGTGGCTAAAGGGAAGGAAAGCAGAGAATGCTCCTTTAGGATTATAGCCTCTAAAAGTTTGCTAATACCTTAAGTTGGATTCGAACCAACAAAATCACGTTTTAGAGACGTGTGAGTCTAACCATTTCCTCTATTAAGGCGGTTTATTTGAGGAGGATGGACTCGAACCATCATCAGGTCACCGACCTCTACATTTACAGTGTATTCCCTAACCTTTCGGGCACTCCTCATTAAATTCTAGCCAATATGTGGGGCTTCATAATCATCAAGGATCACGAGCCATACGCATTAATGGCATTCTATGATAAAGTCACGGATTAATTCCATGCTAATCATTATTAATATTAAATCATAAATGGTTTCTGTAGCCATTCTACACATAGTGATCTATGATCACGTCATTTATTATCCCCGATTGGAATCGAACCAATATTAAAAGCTTAAAAGGCTTCTGCTCTACCACTAAACTACGGGGACTTATTCAGAGTGACTGATACTGATTCAGTGACCTTTAGCTCCCAAAGCTAATGCTCTACCATTGAGCTACACTCTGTTATTAATAGCATTCATGACCAGGACTTACCCCACTAACTATATTTCCATGAAGTCAGCCCAAAGTACTGTCCATTATGGATGATCAACAGAGGGAGATTGGAATCGAACCAATACATGTCAGATCCAAATTCTGATGCCTTACCATTTGGCTACTCCCCCAACCCTAGGTCATAATTCATGACCCTTTGAGCCTTCCTTGAGCTATCTTTCTCTTTCTTTTTGGCTTTTCTTTTCACTTTTTATTATTATTTCTTTTTTATTAATTAACCATTTTTTGGATTAATAAGGAATAGTATAATTAAATATGGGATTCTAATTTCCCTTAAGAAAATATTATATAATTTCCGAACAATGATTATCATTGTCCAATTTTCTAACAAATGATCTATTTGTTTAATTTATTAGTAGATTATTTATTTAAACCTAATTTCTACCTTTAGATGATTTCAGGTATTAATTATTAAAGACGTAGCTTTTTTTTAACCATTGGTCTTCAGAACATGGTCCTCTCGTACAATTGTTCTGCGTTCTATTTCTACTAATTATCCCGAAGATAGAGTACTACCTGCCTTACGGCGGTATGAACCCAGATCACGTTCGGCTTTAATGAAAGAACAGTTCAACCCTTTCTAGCTTTTGCACCAGAAGGACGCCAAGATCCGACATCGAGGTGGCAAACGATCTTTAGAATTTGAGCTCCTAAATATCATTACCCTGTTATCCCTAGAGTAATTTTTTCTTTTGATTGAATAATTTTATTATTCAGTTCACTATGATAGACTAATAATGCTTTTTAGAGCCTTTTTAATCCTTATTTCACATATCCGTGTCATAATCAAGCAATAATTTTCCATTATGATTTAGTAGAGAAAGTTTTAATTTCTACTGATATTGCCTTATATAAGCCTAAGTTACTTTTTATTAGGCTTTCGCCCCAAAAAAAATGCGGCGACTAACATAATTTTTTTTATTGTTAGTTAGCATTAAAATTTCGAGGGTCTTCTCGTCTAACGGGATAATAGAGGTATCTGTACCTCTTTTATAATTTCACGAGATTTATTCTAAAGACAGTTACGCCGTCGTGTTTCTATTCATGCAGGACCTTAATTACAGGCCAAGGAATTTCGCTACCTTAGGATCGTTAGAGTTACAACCGTCGTTAATCACAGTTTATATTAATTTCTTAAATTTCACTATGTGACACAGGACAAGAGTCACTGCGCATACTTCATTATTTATTTTGCGCACAGTTGTGTTTTTGGTCGACAGTCGCAGCGCTATTTTTGCCGAGTTCCTTTAAAATAATTCTTCTCAAGCCAACTCCGGTGATCTATAATCACACGATGAAACATCGCTTCTCGGAGCGCCCATTTAGGGCTTTTTTTAAATCACTTGTGTTAGTTTTAGTATGGTAAATTCTTTTTTTCCTGTTCTTTAGTCATCTATGATGACGTGATCTTCGATCACTCTTTTATCATCCCTTTTTAAGGTTAGATACCATTTAACTTTGACGTGCTTTCGCTTTCGTCGAAAACCTAGATTTTATGGCCAAAATGCTTTATTACATTTTTATACGTTACTCATGTCAGCATTCTCTCAAATTCTTTTTCGAATTTTGTTTACGTACCAAATTAATGGCTTCTTTTACCTATTAATTTCTAATTTTAAAGATTTATATCTTTAGGCCCGTTTATTTTTATAAATTTTCTCTTAGAGAACCTTAAGGTTCTCGTGATCAAAGATCACCAAATAAGTTTTCTGTTACGATTTATTAATAGGATTGCCGATTCCAAGCATACATTCTTATTCTCTTTTTCGATAGCTTTATTTTTGTTCACTTAATTTAAATTTTGGGTCTTTAATTTTTAGATTGATTTGTTTATCTCTTGCAGATCGAACTTCTCTCCCATCTACTAACTTTCCAATTCATTTTCATTCATACATGAATGTTTTATTAATTTTCATTGATCGATTTCTCGGTGCTTTACTCTATTTAATGTTTTATTGGAAGCAGAACTATTATTCTTTTACGTAAATACCAGCTATTATTTAGTTCGATTAGAATTTCTCTTCATAATCCTCATTCATCCAATTACATTGCTACGTAAATAGGTTCGGTCAATTTACCTGATGAGAATTAGATCACTAAATTTCGGGTCTATTATATATAATTAATTAACTTTACTTTGCCTTTTAAGCTCACTATATAAAATAACTTGCTGCAGATTCTCAACCATTTTCATGGCTGTCTAGACTATACCTTCAACTCACACAAATTTTAGACATAAAAAAGCATTGTTAAATGCCGGAACCTTTATAGTTCCTTTCGAAATCCCTTAATTATTTTCACCTAATTTATAAAAAAACATTGGCTAAATAAATTCATTATTATTTTTTTGAGATAAATATAAACGGTAAGATCCCTTATATTTTCTTTTTGTTGCATTTTAATTCTAATTTTCTTTAAATATTTTTATTAATAAGTCGTGTTCTTTTTCTGTAAAACTTTCTGTACAAAAATAAAACCCATCATGAGCATAATAACCATCATCCTTATACCAATAACCTAATACTCTTTAATTTAAATGTTCTCCCTAATCCTAAGGTATTATTTTTATTCCATCTTTTTTTTATTATAAAAAAAACATTTCTCTATAATAATTAAACCATGGTATTGTAAATGTTCTAAAAGCTATATATTTAGCTTTAGTATTTCTATTTGGCTAATGTTCCTTATTAATATTACCCTCTCTAATTTTATCAGAGCATAACCCATATTTATTTAAGATTGACCATATATTCTTTATATAATCAACTTGTTTAATTGAATGTTTAAATTCTATTCTAGTATTATGTTGAGGACCTCTTTTATTAGCGTAAGCATCCCCTAATAATTTTCCTATAATTAAATCGTGTACTTCTTTAGAAGGCTTTAAATAGGCTTTATTACTAGTTTTATAGAATCGTTTAAATGTTCCTAAAATTCCAGCAATCTATCGATTGTTTCTCTTAAATATATTCTTCTTCTTTACTTTATTATATATATTACCCAATAATATTCTTTATTTTAAGTAGATCCTTCCTTAATAGATTCGGGTGTAAGCCCGTTATTAATAGCAAGATTCGAACCTTGCTTACAAAAAATTATCCTTCATATCAGGGTTTATTTTTATTTAATCTGGTAATAAACTAATCCATTTTTTAAATTTATATCATGATTTGTTATAATATGCGAGTGCTGGCGTGTTACCTTGATATTTCAATCAAAGTCGGCATCTTTAGATGCCAGTCGTTACAGGGCTAATCTAAAAGGAAAGAAACTTTTAAGTTCCTTTCTCGAGCTCAAAGAGCTTTATTATTTCGATAGACAGCTTCCCACGGTATTGCCATAAAAAGAAAATCTTTTCTTAGGGTTCACCGTTAGCAGAATTTTTAATTCCACCGACCTTAAAGGTCATGAGCCAGTATTACAAAAACCCTCACGGGTCTTCTGGGCAGGCATTCCACCCCTTATGCAAAAGGTAAATGATAAGATTCTTTTATCCTTTCATTCTTTAAACTAACTCTTTCAGGTTCTTTTTCACTCCTATTTTAGGTTCTTTCTTCAACTTTCCCTCACGGTACTTTTCACTATCACTAATTTATTTTACTTAGCCTTGGTTCTTACCTTTCACGCCATATAGACGCACATTTTTATGTTTACTTCTTTCTTATTTCTTTTTAGATTAGTCATTTTCATGACCTTGGCAAGTTTACCTTCCCTATTTTTCTAATTTTATTTGACTTTTCTCTTTTCGCTCTTCACTACTTAGAAAGTTATTTTCTTTTCTCAATTACTAAGATACATCAATTCATTGATTATTTATTTTACGATTTTCTTCTATGGTTTCAGTTTCTTTTACTTTTTGGTTTTATTACCACCATTTTTAAATTAGTTAGTCATCCTGAATTAGTTCTTTTTATATACTATTCCCCTGATTTTTTATCCACTTTCTTCCTTTCACTTTTTTCACTTTTTATTATTATTTCTTTTTTATTAATTTTTATCCTTTAACAAATTTCCTAACCCTTCGACATTTTTTAGCTCCGAATTTTATCTCACTCGTACCTACGATCCTCTCATTACATTACGTGGTTAACTTCTAGATAATCATAATAGCTCTTGACAGCACCATTAGTGCCTCACTCCCACCTTCGTTACCCCTGATTGAGCTCCGAATAGTGACTCCCTTATCATCATCTCCTTCCTCATACCCGATTTCTCCCTCTTTTCATCAACTTTTTAGGACTTTATTTCCCCCTTGTCTTTTTAGATCATAATTCCTCACTACTGATAGTAATCCACATAATGGCTATCATGATCCTTTAATACTCCCTTATTAGAAAGCAAATAATATCATTAAACTCTTCTTTAATGAGAATAATCCCTTCGCTTCTACTAATGCAAATCCTAAAATTGTAATATTAAATAATTCTGCTTTTAAAGATGGGTTTCTTGATACTCCATTAATATATGCAGCAAATACTAAACCAATTCCCTTTGCTCCTCCAGCTAATCCAGTTAAAGCACATCCAGCTCCAATTAATTTCCCTAACATTAACATTTTTTTATTTTTTATTCTTTCTTTTAAAGGTCTTTCCTTTTTAACTCCTAAATAGATTCGAACTATTACCTTAAGATCATGAGCCTTATGTGCTACCCTTACACTATAGGAGATAACTCCTTCCACCTTCGGTGTCCCATGTTTCATAGTTCATGGACCTGGAGCGCCACATAGTGGCTTTTTGTTTCCTTCATTATTTTTCCTTTTATGTTCTTTTTCTTTGTCTTTTTATTTTTACTTTCTTTTTTATTCTTTCTCTCTTTAAATCATAACTTCTTACCATTTTTGCCCCCATTCTTTCCTTACTCCTGGCTCCTGGTTCCATATTTACATCATTTCCATCTTCCGTATTCCGTGTCCCTTTACACATCCCTCGTGGTCATTTACATCATTATATGATTTTCCCCTTTTTGGACTATTTTTTAAGTGATTTTATTTCTTCCAATTTACTTCTCTTTACATACCCCTTTTTTAGGTTTATTTCACTTTTTTATGTTTAGTCTCTACTAATTTTCATTACTTTAATTATTTTTTTCTAAACTTTTATAAAATTTT